AAAAATGACCTATAAAATGACCGAAAAAAACCAGAAAAATGACCTAAAGGAGAAAAGAAAGAACACTTCGCTTTCATGTTATTCACATTTCAGAAAGCATATGAAGAAAAATTCCCTAAAATGGTCAAAAATGACAAGAAATACCCTTAAAGCCCCCAAAAATTGCCCCCAAAATGAAAAAATGACCTTAAACCTGAGAACGTCAAAAAATGACAAAAAATTACCTATAAAATTTACATTTCTGTAACCAGCAGCTCATATCCGAGATGTATATATTTAAGAGCATCGCATAGGATACAAAGAAAAAAAGATGACATGTCATCAAAATCCGGGCCCTGGTCATAACTGAGGTTTTTCGTGGTTTTTCTCGTTCCCTACTGCCAAATATCAGGATAACATTTCGGTTAGTTCTCGACCGTTTCCTGTCACCTGACTTTCAGTTCCAGTTGACAGCCCATAGAGTCTGCATTACTAAACACGAAGACCACAAAAGAACCAGCAAGATCAACCCACACAGTGACACGCCTCTATTGGGCGACCATTCCTCAAGGAACAATCATAATAAAAACATGAGAATACAGACAACAGCAAAAACTAAGTCAGAATAAAACATGGAATCTGAAACAAATGAGAATTCATTCAGAAACAGCAGGAAGTGACGAATAACATGTAGTTCCTTCAATTCTTACTTACTGCTTCCCACCGCGGCGGCCTGGGTTCGATCCCGGGTCTGGTCAAGTAGGATTTGTGGTGGACAAAGTGGCGCTGGGGCAGGTTTTCTCCGAGCACTTCGGTTTCCCCTGCCAATCTTCATTCCAGCAATTGCTCCACACCCTCACCTATCATCTGGGGCTGGTTCAATAGGCCAGAAGTGGCCGCAGTACAAGGGACTTAGTCCCACCCCACTAGCAATAAAACAAAAAACAATAATACTTATTTCTGGAAATGAGCCTTTCTTGAGGAGAAGCCAATTCTGCAGCTACTCAAGAATTTTCCAGCATTTTATGGAACCCGAAAGTTCATTACCGTCTTCACAAGAGCCCTCCACTCGTCCCTATCCTGAGCCAGATCAATCCAATCCATACCATCCTATCTCTCTAAGATCCATTTTAATATTGTCCACTCGCCTATTCCTTGGTCTTCCCAGTGGTCTTTCCTTCTGGCTTTCCCACCAATATCCTATATGCATTCCTCTTCTCCCTATTCGTGCTACATGCCCTGCCCACCTTATCATCCTCGACTTGATCATTCTAATTATACTTGGAGAACAGTACAAGTTATGAAGCTCCTCATTATCCAGTTTTCTCCAACCTCCTTCGATAGGCATTCTTTTTTATTGCTTCTCAATAACCTCGTTCAAATTGGGTTGGAGGTTCCCGCTGCAGTGACTGTGAAGTGTACTGAGTTTCAGGATGCGAGGCCCTGTTGTCTGACAGAAGTTTATCGAAGTTACGGCCTCTGTCTTCACAGCGGAAAATTATACCAAGCAAACAATGAACAAGAAGCAAGCAGACTATGTGGCTTCTAGTACAGATGATAGTGTCCTGTATTTATTTAACTATTTATTTTATTTATTTATTCATTTACTTATTTATTTGTGTTTATTTATTATTTCATTTACTTGTTATTTTATTTATTTATTCAACTGACAACCTCACCGCCATCTGTGAGCCGATTGTCTACAAAACGCGGGAGCCTCGACGTCTCACAACCCTATGGGCCTCCGCGTCCTGTTATAGGGATAGCTTCACCTTTTTAGTGCCCAGTGCTATTGTTATGTACACAAAATTATAACACGTAGTGCCTAAATATCACTAAATAACTAACTCCACGGAACTGAGTCCTTTTTGAGAAGCCGTCAGTCGCTCAGCTACTCAAAAATTTCCCATCAATATAAGGAACCCAGAGGTTCATTACGGGATTCACAAGAGTCCTCTATTCGCCCACATCCTGCTCCAGATCAATCCAGTCCACACACCCCAACGTATCTCTCCAAGATCCATTTTAATATTATCCTCCCACCCACGTCCAGGTCTTCTTAGTGGTCTCCTTCCTTCTGGGTTCCCACCAAAGTTCTATATCCTCTTCTCCCCCACGCGCGCTACATGCCCTGCACACCATGTCATCATTGTAATTATACCTGGCGAAGAGTACAAGTTATTAAGCTCCTAATTATGCAGCTTTCTGCAACCTCCTATCATTTCACCCCTCTTCCGTCCAAATATTCTGCTCAGCACCCTGTTTTCAAACACCCTCAGTCTATGTTCCTCCCTTAATGTCAGAGACCAAGTTTCACACCCATACAGAACTACAAATATTATTAAATATAACTATCTATTTAAAAATATCCTACTAATAAATGGGCGTAGTTGACATAATTAATGTACTAAAAGAATGATTGACTTGATATACCTTTCTTGTCATCCTTCATCATTCCTATGGTCCCCCCCGTGTACAGCACCAGCACACGGCTTTCCCCTTCTTTGCTTCTGCTGATGGGGCCAGACGGAATTCCAGGTCCACTTCTAAAAGTACGTAGAAAAATCTCACTAGCGGAAGGAGTGTGATAATGATTTGTCTCGTGGTTACTGAGCAAATGGTTAGCATCCGCATTCCGCTCAGTATGCATCTTGTCTGCACTCAACCACTGTTCCCCTAGCACTGATTCAATACCGCGACCACCGTGACGGCGACACAGCGCATGATCAAGGCCGTCACGGGGGCTATGTTCGCCGCCAATAGCGTGGAGTTTCATATGGGTGAACAAGGCGATCAAGGCTGCCACTAGCACCACAGCTGGCTATACTTGGAAACGGCTGGTGACTGCTTCCGCCGCGTTATTTAGAGCGTCCTACACCTGAGCACCGCGACGCTTCCAAGTCAAATGCCTCTGTAACCTAACAGGACAATCAGAAGCTGATGGTCTCCTTGCTGTTCAAGATATTCCTCTCTTCTATGGAAGCCCAAAGTTCATTATTGTGACTTGGTTCAACCTGGTCCGTCACACTAGCAATAGTATAAGAGATTATTAACGCCTTCCAGAGCGATTGGCAAACGTGTTTCTTTAATCTTTCATCCTTGATATTGTTGCATGTCGTGAATCCGGAAGGAATATTTCCGTGGAAACGCAATAATAGTGGGCCGCTGCATAGGAACAGCCCAAACAACAAACGGGTTTCCCCGGAGATGAAAGGACAACAGTGGGTTCGTTGCGTAACAACAGATGAAACCAAACACTTCTACAAGGTGTTCTATATTGAGTTAGGCTATTATTTCCTAGGCAACGGGTTGTTTGTTGCGCAGTAACGGATGAAAGAGCAATTAAATATCTTATGTATCCATAGTTGGTCAATAATGCAACAATTGTTTATTCACTATATAACACTTAACACAACATGTTTCGGCCACAGATGGCCATCTTCAGGTTTGTCTTAATGCATCCAAACTGTTACACTGTTCTGATGTGCGCTAAAACCGCGCGTTGCAGTCCTCTTAAAAATAACATAAATTAAAAAAGAAATAAAGGTATCCCTGTAACAGGCCGTAGAGGCCCATAGGGTTGCGAGGTGTTGAGGTTCCCATATTTTCTAGACAATCGGCTCACAGATGGCGGTAAGGTTGTCAGCCTTACGCGCCGGTCGCACATTACCCCCAAGAATATTTCTGGTACTCAGTTCTGTTAGAGTCTGAGTCGAAGCTAGGGCCACAGTGCGGCTGGAAGGATTAGGTATATTGGAAAAAATCAAATGACCTCATCGGGACTTGATCCTGCGACCTTTCGGCTTGTAGCATAGTGCCTCAACCAACTACGCTACCGCGTACCCCCCTGTGGATACATAGACATTTAATTAATGATTTGTAACAGGATGCTGAAATACAGGATGAAATTAACCCTTCGTTGGTGTTTTCTATCCCGTCCGAACGCTGGATGTATAAGAGAGAGTAGCTCCAGCGAGGGTTCAGTATCACGACTATTACGAGTATGACAAGTATCACAGGAGATTCCGAGTGAAATCACTGAAGAGATTCTGAGTTTTAGACTCGACTCTAGAGAGACAGAAGAGTTCCAGAGTGTGCTAACGTCTAATAGCGCTCTACGTGAATAACTGTACGAGTGTGTGTACAAATAAGCGTCCAATAAAAGAATTCGTTCCGATCCGAAGGCCCACGTAATTTATTCGTGTCACGTGACACAGCTGACACGTTAGAATATGTTTCGGTTGGAGCGACCATCTTCAGAAGGACATTATCAATACATACGGAAACTACTATTACAATGTCATAGATAGATATAGATATATATAGATGTGCATGAATTTGTTAAAACATTCATAAATTATTATAATAACGTAGTTGGTTGAGGCACTATGCTATAAGACAGAAGGTGGCGGGTTCAAGTCCCGATGAGCTCATTGGATATTTTCAATTGACCTAATCCTTCCAGCCTCACTATGGCCCTGGGGTCGACTCAGCCTCTAACAGAAATGAGTACGGGGAATATTTTTGGGGGTAAAGCGCGGTCGGCCGGGCGTAAGGCTGACAACCTTACCGCCATCTGTGAGTCGATTGTCTAGAAAATGCGGGAGCCTCGACGTCTCACAACCCTATGGGCCTCCATGTCCTGTTACAGGGATAACTTTTTACTTTTTACTTTTACAATTTACATAGTATTGTTTAAAAATCATTTTCTTAAAATGTAGAACCAATTTGGTTCGTGTCCTTCCATTTTTCAATAAATAGAAGAAGTATGCTACTTCGATTCGGCATTGATCAATTCCTTCCAGATCCTTTCCAATTCATCAGACCTCAACCCTCTTACCATTCGACGCTAGGCAGTGTAGGACAGGAAAAGCAAACCTGTGGCCTGCGGAGCTATTGCTACTGCTTTTAACTCATATCAGAATTGTCTAAAATATCTCAAGTAATGAATTATTTTTCCATATGAACGAAATAAATTTATTTCAGATGATTTTTGTAGCAATACACATTTATTGTGGTTATTAAGAAATATTTCGAGTTGTTATTGGAGTCCATTTTGTAACCTAGGGCCACATTTTAATCAATTCTAGCGATATCTTTCATTCATAACGCCTGATATTTTCATTGGCATCAAAATCATGAAGAAGGAACCGATTCTATGTCAATTTACAATTCCTACGGAATCTCGTAAATAAATAAAAGTCAGGAACAAATTGGACCCCATTCGGTATAGTTTGTCTGGAACATCTCTGAGTGTACGTCATATCTTGAGTAGGCAACCTTACAGAAGAAAATTCCCTGTGTGTTCAACGAGATCTGTAGTACGGTGATTTTGGTTCCCACCAAATATTGAAAATAAATCTAGTAAGTTTCTAATGATGACGTGACGACATACATAATTATTTAGTAATGACGCACCCTCAAAGATGTTTCAGACTGACAATTCCAGGTTTCGAGAAACTGTCTGAAATTTCCTGAAGCGTTTTCCTAAACGTTTCAGGCAGGAACAGGTAAATGAATAGGACAGCGACAAAAGTAATCCCTCCGTAGAGATAGAAGACACCCTCTGTACACTTTAAATTCACGTTGGTCGCAGTTCCACCCATAAGCACCACGAATGTTGGAAACATCTTGATTGACGCAAAACCGAATAAGTTACCCAAAAAGGTGGTGATCCCACAGGCGAGTCCTTTTACTTTGGCAGGATACATCTCCCCCAGCATTGCCCATGGGATGAGGAAGAACCCTATGGCTGCTGACACCTGCAAACAACATCCATTCAGAACCGAGATATTAGAAACAAATTCGTTGGCTCCCACAGCGGTAAGAGTCTTTTGGGATGTAAGGCTGTACAGTCAAAATGTCTCCATCTTCAGGGTAGAAAATAAAAATTTCCGCAGCCTTTCGACCCTAAAACTGAAGGCATCAGTGATATTCCTACAAAATATAGGTGTCCTTCTGTCGGACGTACACGGAGTCATATCCAAGAAGACTTAGTCTTCACAACAGACCCAGTAAAGATAAGGATGTACCTATGCTTAATAAAATACCGCGCCATAAAGACGTATGGGTGTCAGTGGAGTTCTAGATCCAAGTTTTCTTAATCTAGGCACTAGGTGGTAGTGAGTGATCAGTTTCACGCCTATGGCCCCTTATGTCCCGGGGAAGGACCTCCGGTAAACATATGACAGGAGGCTGGATGGGCCCCAGGGCCGATCCGGACACTACAGTAAAACATACAATCTTTTGCCACTGCCGGAAATCGAACCCAAATTCATCTCCTGACCAACCTGTAGCCCGCCGCTGTACCGTATGACCTGTCCCAGCTCCAAGAGCCCTTTAAAACCCAGCGGTTACTATATATACCACCTGTTTTAACATACCAAAACTCTACATTCTGCCCACAGAATATATTTCTGTGTGCCATATGGTTCCCTTAAACAGCGACTGTTTCCATAAACAGCATTAACCGGTTGGGCTTTGTAGAGGAGACGTATTGTGTTTCCTGTGAGGTACGGACTGAATTCTTATATATGCTGCATTCTGCCCACAGATTGTATCTGTGTGTTCCGTATGATTCTCAAAATAAACAGCGACTGTTTCCCTAAACAGCATTAACCGGTTGCGCTTTGTAGTGGAGACGTAATGTGTTTCCTGTGAGGTACGGACTGGATTCATATATAGTATTTAGTATAGATCCAGTCTTTAAAGTGATGGACCTAGTACACGGGACACATGGAATTTCGAGCTAACAGACTTCCTCCTCCTCGTATTGCCAAGGCCGATACGAAGTAACAGGACCGTAAAATATTCCCCAAACGACTTCTTCTTGTACTTACGACATAGAGAAATATCACTAGTAGCGGTATCCAGGCCAGCCTCTGCCTCATATCGGACTCCACAGTCAGCTCATGGTATAGTCCTAGGCCCACCATGCATATAGCCATTCCTAGTCCTGACCCTATCGACAGGGGACGTCTGCCACATCTGTGAAGTCATACACAATTCGAATTTAGATTCATGTGCGCTTTTGAGGAGGCGTCATCACCAGACAGTGATAGAGGTCATTATGATATTATTAAAAGATTAGTGGATTATATTTGGAACATAAAACTGGAACCAAAATCCCCAAACAGGGGATCTCATTGAACGCAGATCTTAGTTCCCGTAAGGTTCCAGCTCAAGGTTGTGACATGCGCTCAAGGATACACACCTTACATTACATAGCGCCACAATGGGACGAGAGGGCGAGGTTACACAGTGAGTTCGGAGGGACAGGGAAATAAGCAGGTGTATAGGCCTATTTAAGAATGAGTTAAAATGTTTTCTGCTCAAACAACTCGCTCTAAAGACGTATGAGGGTGTGGAAATGTAGCTCCACATATTCATAACTTCAGCATTAGATGCGCGTGAATGGTTAACTTCACCGCTTTACATCCGAAGAAATATCCACTGTATAGGAGGCTGGGTGGGCCCCAGAGCCGGTATGGAGAAGAGAAAATCTCTTGCCTCTGCTAGAAATCGAACCCCGGTTCATTTTTGTTCAGCCAGTAGTCTGGCCACTATTGAGAGGGGGAAATACAGTACTTAGATGAAATTAAAAACAAAGAGTTCTATTTTCTGTGATGTGACACCATGTGGTCTGGCAAAAGACAATCGACTTTTCGAAGAAAACATTCGCTTCCATTTTCAGGGTCCAAGAGTAGGTCTAGATACATGCCGCCTGCGATATATTCTTCCGAAATGTCAGTTGGATAGTACCGTACATCACCGATTTTATATCCCGGAATATAAAACTCTTCATAGTTACTGATGGGTTAACCTCAGATGGAATTTACCCACAAAATTTTCAGGAAAATTCTGGGAACGAGGATTTGAAGCTCGTCCAAAAAGAAAACCCACCGCAATACTTGCTTCAAAAGCCGTGACTGCCGTATATATTGGCAAGCTAGAGAGTAATTTTTATATAATCTATGGGTGTTCTCTATGTGGTCCGCGGCTTGATAGAAGAGGAAAGTTAGACTCATTCTCTGTTGCAATTGGTCTGAAGGCTCACAGAGCTGTCAGAGAGCAAAAATGTGATCATGATCCCGTTCGACTCGGAACCAAGAATCACTGTGCTGGCGAGGACCAGCCGTAATTTAGCAGGCAGGCAATAAAAGCCTTATTCAACTTCTTTCCTCTTTTCATAACAAAGTCTACATCTTAAACATTTTTTTATTATTAGTGGGGTGGGACTAAGTCCCTTGTACTGCGGCTACTTCTGGCCTATTGTACCAGCCCCAGATGATAGGTGAAGGTGATTGTGGAGCAATGGGTGGGATGAAGATTGGCAGGGGAAACCGAAGTACTCGGGGAAAAGCTGCCCAGCGTCACTTTGTCTACCACAAATCCCACTTGACCAGACCCGGGATCTAACCCGGGCCGCCGCGATGGGAAGCCAGTGACTAACCGCTTGAGCTATGGCGCGGCCAGATCTTAACCCTTTACTTTTTTTACTTCCCTCTGTCAAACTTATGCCTACCAGAAGGGAATGAGGCCCCTTTGAGCGTTGCTATGAGAGGCACAGTTTGATTATCACTGATATAGAGGAGACTTACCTATTTTGAACAAATCCAGCAACAATTTCGAAGAAAAGTTTGACGATTCCAAGAAGTACCGTTGCCAGATAAGGCTCCAATGACACACCTTCACTCATCATGATGTTCACAGAGTAGGCTATGAGGACAGGAACACCAGAGAACTGCATGAAAAAGAAGTAACAGTTCAGAATCACGAGTGGTTTCCACACATCGGAGCGCCTTAGAGTCGACAACACTGCGTTACAGAGATCCTTGCGTTTCGCCTGCAGAATCACAGCTTCGCCCGTCCCGTATGTCTTCGCGACATTCCTGAACAACGGTTCGTCATCGGCGTGCCCTTGAGACGCCTTCTTAACGCTCTCTCTCAACATCCTACTGTTTTCCATTATTATCTGGAACTCTCTCTGAACGTCTATTGATGTTATTCCGTTGCTGTCAACGTTACGGATCCATTCGAAAGATTTCCTCGCTTCGTCTTCACGTCCTCTTGCTAAGAGCCAAATCGGCGATTCGCTGAGGCACAGGAAAATCAAGATGGCCGTTATGACTGGAACGAACGCGGCGACAGCTGCAACGGTTCGCCATTCTTGGATAATGAATCCCATAGCGTACACTAACAGGATACCGACGGAGACAGCCAGAGACGGCCATGTGACCAGCATGCACCGCGTGGAACTGGTCACCATCTCAGCAATGTAGATGTTAGATGGACTACTCGCCTGAAAATGTACAATAATCACATCCTTATGAGGATATCGCAGGAATGAACATTTATCCATATATACGATATAACTCCGTGGTTTTAGTCCGCAAGCGAACTATACCGACTGAGGGACCACCGCTTGTTGGCGAAGTTAGTGTCAACTTTAGCGGATAGAGGGTGTCACGTGGTCAGCGCAACGAATCCCCACGGTCGTTAAACTCGGTTTTATAGACCGGAGCCCCTATTTCCTTGAAATAGCTCCTCAATTATCCTCGCAAGTCTGAGTGGACCCCGTTCTAGACCCACTAGTTCTCAGAAAATCTGGTAGCGCCGGGAATCGAACCCGGAATCTAGCCAGGAACTCTGACCACTAGACCACAGAGGCGGTCATCACCTATTACAGGGAATTAAGTAAGTACAAGGCTGGTGTTGCCTCTGATGGCATAGCGCTCGTACTAAATTTAATGAAATTCGGTCAACTGATTCTAAAACTGAACGGCGAAACAGACACAGAACCTGGCGATCTCATAAGCCTACTTTATTTCCTAAAGAAGACAACGAAAGATAAAGATGGGGAAGAAAGCATGTGGATAAAGAAGGAAGGAGCCAACGTACCATTCCTGCGCCAAACCCGTTGAGGAGACGAGCGAAGTAAAGCAGAGCCACAGGGGCCGGTTTCGGAGCCGTCCACAGCAGCAGCCAGCCCACGATGAAGGGCGTGTTAGACACGAGAAGGGTCCTCTTGCGCCCAAGTGAGTCCATCAGGGGCCCGGTGGTCAGGCAGCCAGCCAGGATCGAGACAAAGCCCATACTTGCTGGATAACATTAGCCAACATTATTGTCGTTAGGTGGAGGTCTACATTCATGAGCACGACCCTGGTTCCCGCAGTCGTAACAGCGTTTGTGGGAGTGGGACAGTAGCAATGTTCGCAGGAGTGTAATGGCAGTTGTATTGGTAGAGATTTGGTAGTTCCTGGGCTTGAAGCAGTCTAGTAGTGTCTGTAGCATCTGTAGCAGTAGCAGAGTAGTAGTAGTAGTAGTAGTAGTAGTAGTAGTAGTAGTAGTAGTAGTAGTAGTAGTAGTAGTAGTAGTAGTAGTAGTAGTAGTAGTAGTAGTAATGTTTCCCACCGCGGCGGGCCGAGTTCGATCCCGGGACAAAGTGGCGCTGGGGCAGGTTTTCTCCGAGTACATCGGTTTCCCCTGCCAATCTTCATTCCACTAACTGCTCCATAATCACCCTCACCTATCATGTGGGGCGGGTACAATAGGCCAGAAGTGGCCACGGTACACGGGACTTAGTCCGACCCCACTAGCAACAAAAAAAAATATTTTTAGTATTGTAGTAGTATTTTAAATAGGACATGGTAGTAGTGTAGTATGAATAGTGTTTATAGTTGTGGTGTTAGTAGTAGTGCAGCAGTAGTACTAGCGTCTAGTGCGCGCTCAGATGGAAGAATTGGAAGCTCATCCAGTCAAGTCGGGCCTATACATATGATACAATCCGGAAGGTCGCGGGTCTGATTCCCAGTGAGGTCACTGCATTTTTTAATTGACCTCATTTTTCCAGCCGCACTATGGTCCTGTGATCAATTCGGCCTCTAACAGAAATGAGTACCATGAATCTTCCTAGAGATAAAGGTGCGGCCAGCACGTAAGGCTGACAACCTCACTATCTGTGAGCCGATTTTTTACAAAACGTGGGAACCTCGACATCTCACAAACCTATGGGCCTCTCCACGGCATGTTACCTTACCTATGTCATCAAGACATATGGGAGCGGTGACACTACATGGAGGTGAGTGGTCAGCTTCACGCTCTTCCCGCTTTATCCCAGGGAAAGAGTCCCGGGTACCCATCGGATAGAAAGGAAGCTGGGTGTGCCCCAGAACCGGTCTGGACGTTGTGGAAAAGAGAAAAATATCTTGTTCCTTCTGGGAATCGAACCCCAGCCGTCCAGCCCGTAGCCCGTCGTTCTACCGACTAAGCTATTTCGACCCATACGACACGACGACACAGTTCCAAAGTGTCTCACATCACCTGTTAACAAGAAAGTTGGTTAATTCGTCGATCTTTACGCACCGAACCAGGAGCCCTCCTCGACCGTCAGCCTGTCGGCTCCGTCAGGATCCTGCAGGTGAGGTAGAGACACGGCCGAGAACCCAAAGTTAATCCCGGAGGACAGAAGAGTTGCTGAGGAGACAGAGCTCAGCAGAATCTGCAACAGCAAGTAAAAGGCAGCGCCAGTCCTCGGTTACATAACGACACTTACACAACTACGTGAGATGACGGAAGGGCAGTGACTGACAAGCAGGAAAGGGATGTAGCAGGGGGAGCTCCTGTCCTGTTTTAACCCTATCAGTGACAATTGTTGAAAATTCCGATCTTAACAAAGATTGCTGTGGCACACATGTGTTATCAATACGGGTATTAAAATACATAATAGACTGCCTTTGGAATTAAGAAAATCAGATGGACAAGACTTCAAACGTAATCTAAAAGTATTTTTACTAGATCATCTATTCTATACATTGTACGAGTTACTTTTAAGGGACAGTAGTAAGCATAGCAAAACCTCTATTCAGAAATTGAAATAGATAACAAATGGTTGCTTATAGTATCTTTTTTTTATTGCTAGTGGGGTGGGACTAAGTCCCTTGTACTGCGGCCACTTCTGGCCTATTGTAGCAGCCCCAGATGATAGGTGAGGGTGATTGTGGAGCAATTGGTGGAATGAAGATTGGCAGGGGGAAACCGAAGTACTCGGAGAAAACCTGCCCCAGCGCCACTTTGTCCACCACAAATCCCACTTGACCAGACCTGGGATCGAACCCGGGCCCCCCCGGTGGGAAGCTAGCGACTAACCGCTTGAGCTATGATGCAGCCCATTTGTAGTATCTTAATATGATCGGTGACTGACATGGTCATATGTAGGACGCCTGATTTACTGTAATACTCTTAAAATTTTTCGATAAACTCATAAGGTTAACTTGTATTTCGGTTTACGTAATACATCTAATTTGATTACTTATCTGGTTTTGATAGTGTGTTATATTTCAATTATAGGTTAACCATATCAAGAGTGATTATTTATTGTTGACAAATTATAAACCTTTAGGCATTTGGGCAAAAGGATTTCAAGAATGAAGTATTTAATGTTGTGACTTGTACAAGTGTTACTGTTGTAACAAATATGAATTCTAAATAAAATGAATGAATGAATGTGACATCTGTTTTTCGTTTCATCTGAACTGCGTAATGAAGAAACTTCCGGAAACTCTCCCGAACATTTGATGTTATTAGATGAGTTTGCGGGAATGCCGATGGAGGCACCACTTGACGGCTTACATTCCGAGGAACGAATGAAACTCGAGAGCAATATTCCTTTCCGAACGATTATATTAAAATGGATTATGGAAAAGTGGAACAGGACATGGACTGGATTCATCTGACACAGGATGCAGACAAATATGAGCATGGCAATGGAAACACTCAAGGTCTCACAAAATGTTGGGGAGTTTCATTAGTGGCTACGCAACTGCTCGCTTCTCGAGAATGACACAGCTTCATAGAACCACTAAAAGATTTCTGTCGTCTGCGATATGACGCCACGACTATGCCTCAATATAGGGCCGCGCCATAGCTCAAACGGTTAGTCGCTAGCTTCCCACCACGGCGGCCCGGGTTCGATCCCGGGTCTGGTCAAGTAGGATTTGTGGTGGACCAAAATGGCGCTGGGGCAGGTTTTCTCCGAGTACTTCGGTTTCCCCTGCCAATCTTCATTCCACCAATTGCTCCACAATCACCCTCACCTATCATCTGGGGCTGGTACAATAGGCCAGAAGTAGCCGCAGTACAAGGGACTTAGTCCCACCCCACTAGCAATAAAGAAATACCTCAATATTGTAAAAAACGTAAAGTTGATGCTGTGCTTAACTAAGCAAGCACTACGCCATAAAGGCACATGGGGAAGTGGATGTATAGACCCACGTGTTCTTGACCTCGGCACTAGTTGGAGGTGAGTGGTCAGCTTCACGCTTCTGCCGCTTTACCCCGGGAGAAAGAGAACCGGGTACCCATTGTATAGGAGCCTGAGTGGACCCCAGAGCCCGTGTGGATGACATGGAGAAAGGAAAAATCTTACCCCTACCGGGACTCGAACTCCGAACCCTCTGTCATCCAACCAATAGCCAGTCGCAAAAAAGCGATCAAATAAACAACCGAAGAATACTATAACTTCATATTTACCTCTCTGAAGGACATTCCAGCGTTAAATTAATTCCAGTCAGTTGATTGATATTGGATTCTTTCCTTTACAGATTAGGTCAATATGCGTGTAGGTTATTAGTAATTAAAATCTTATCTATTACAACAGTTTCAAACAAAACAATAAACACGTCCTTTCTTCTGTGTTATCTTCGCTGTCACAAAGTGTAGGTCAAGGCTGTCGACGTTATCAAACAATCTGCGAACACAGTACGAATCCCGAGTGGACCACAAAGTTTCCAGCAATAGCGGCGGATCCAACTCTACAAGTGTGGCAAGACGAACTGGCGGGAAGGAAGCTTATAATACAGCTCATCCCAAGGAACATCTGAGCTTCTATTGAGGAAATATTCTTGATCCGGATTTAGAGGTCTAGATATTAACTGTTAACCAGACCGAACCATTCAACGAAAGTCGAATATGCAAGGTGCGTCATAATACGAAACACACGTATGTAAATATCTGACGATAGAATTAAGAGGATTAAAACAGGTTTGTCTGTGATGTAATTTCCTGTATAACTTTTTGTTGCTAGTGGGGTGGGACTAAGTCCCTTGTACTGCGGCCACTTCTGGCCTATTGTAGCAGCCCCAGATGATAGGTGAGGGTGATTGTGGAGCAATTGGTGGAATGAAGATTGGCAGAGGAAACAGAAGTACTCGGAGAAAACCTGCCCTAGAGCCACTTTGTCCACCACAAATCCCACTTGACCAGACCCGGGCCGCCGCGGTGGGAAGCCAGCGACTAACCGCTGGAGCTACGGCGCGGCCCTCATGCATAACCACGGGAAAAGTAACACTTAACAATCCGGGGTAAAGCGTTTATTTCCTATTGTGCAAGTATCATGTTAGCAATAAATGTTTCGATTCATAAAAAGTTCCATCTTCCGGGATATAACGGCGTGTAGTCTGTTGAAAGTCAACAGGCGTTTTGAAGGAGCAAGCAAAACCTTTGCTTGCCATATGCATTCAAGCTGGTTTCTTCCTCGGCTTATTCTTAGACCCTGAAAATGGAGGCGATATATTCCTCCGAAATGTCGGTTGGCTTTCAATGGACTATAGTGTTGTATCCTATAAGATAGAACTGTTTATAACCACCGCTCTGATAAGCTCAAATCATATATGTTGAATTCATAATCATAAATAATTGATGGAAATATTGTTGGGTGCCATCTTGAATTGTGTCCTAAACTCTCATTTGTCATTTGTTGGCTACTTTTCACCTTTATAAACAAAATATCCACAAAATACGTTTAGTGTTTCATAATGTTATATTTACATAAACATGACAAACAAAGCAAGACATTCCCTGAAGCGCCTAATTTATCGTACGACCAACTCCACAGTGCAACATTCTTGTTAAGAAACTAACTGTGGCTTAGCTAGTCAGGGAAGAGCAGTAATTTGCTGCTGGTCCTCGCCAGCACAATCATTCTTGTTTTCCGGCTCCTTCGGGACCAATGACTATAATTCTGCTCCTTCCAAAACATTTGTTTATTTTGAAATTGGGTTTCCTCTTAGACGAGATAAGTGGCTAGCCCCATTTCAAGCCAAGTGAAGAAATTTTCCGCCTTTTATGCAACCGGAAAAAGAAACACTAGAAGCAATCTAGGTAAGATTTCTTTCGACGTATTAACTGGATATATATGGCTTATAACACTGTCTATTATTTAGAAATTTCTGCAATGGTTTAAGCCTTTTGGTTTGTTAAAACTTTAAAGTTAAAAATTCATCTAAATAATATTAAAAAAGCAAATAAATCCTGTTTTCTCAGAAAATACACTGTCACCATCACAAACACCAACACGTTAATGCTGCACAGCGAAATAATCACTGTTTATTCTATGAATTACAAGAAACACAAACAATCTCTGAGCAAAGTGCAGATGTTACATACAGTAACCATTGTCTTTTGAAGAGGTACACAATGTAGGCTCATCTACACAGTTATGTTAGTAAATGATTTGTAATCCTGTTCGGTTAACACATGTGTATCAAATGTCTTTTGAATATATCCAAATCGTCCACCAGGTAAAATTAGTAGGTACATCACAGGGACCATTTTCTTAAGTAGTGACGAGTTCATTCTCATGGAAGTCCTTACGGGATCTGAACACAGAGACACTGGGGCAGGCTACCTTCTTCATTTACTTCAGTTTCCCCTTGCCAATCATCTTTTTAACACTGTCCCTGCTCTGAGTACAATTGGCCCATTAGAGGTGCCAGTGATAAGGACCCCCGGCCTCACAGCGCTCTTTTTACACTTTACCCTTGTCTTCTCATGAGCTGTCCAAATAAAATACACTTTACCCTACCTACTCCTTGGCATTATGGTCCTGTGGGAACTTTGGCCTCCATTTGGACAGATGTAAATTCTTCTCTTTCCCCGATCTCGTCACTTTCAGCTCTGGTAAATCATCCTCTACATCTTCCAGCTATCTCATTCTCTTTCAAAAACTTTTTTATCCACCCTAATTTGATCCATTCTAATCATAAGCATCAGTCACCCAAAATCTTTTATTATTCGCTATATATCAGATCACAGTAAGTTATGGTGAGAAGTGAAATTATCCTTGAACTTAAATGCAAAGGACGCTCCTATTTATTTGTGTTAATATGTAACGTCTGAGCCGGATTTTGGTCGTGTTGTAGTAAAGGTTGAACCTTCCCGCCAATGTACTGTTAGTTTGGTTGTCGTACTTAAGTATAACATGAACACGTATGGTGGAGTGGAGGTATAGCTCCACCATGCTGGTTAGTTATTATTTTCCAGGTCCCTTGCTCAGCTACGGTACTAACCTTTCTTCAGAAACGTTCTCCTCCATTTCCTTAACATAACTGTCACTGTCACTGTCAGTCTTGGACCATTATGTACACCCATGCATCACAACTTAGTTTTAAACTAATCAACTATTTACACACTTGGAGACAAACACGAATGCACAGAAAACCCTACAATACGTTCCTCAATTGACCTTGAAACAAACACATAAATATTTCATCTGACAGCTCATTCTTCCCCTTGAAGAGCGATATGTTACACTTGATGCCATCTATTGACAGAAGTCCTCTATTAATTGATTCTAATGGACCGATCTCTTCCGCTATGTCGGTATTAATAAAACACTACAAGCCGAACCAGCTGACATGTAGCATGCGAAAGATTTAAATAGAATCTGGTAGGTTTGTGAAGTTAGCAACACAAAACACTTTTGCGGCATGGCTGCCGGAATTCCTCTCCAATCTGTTCCAGGGATTTCTTGAACGTCTCGGGCAGGAAGAGGAAAACGAACACAGTTCCAACTAAAGCCACAGCACCGAAGAAGAAGAACCCTCCTCCTGTTGTTGCACTGTCACCTCTCAGGGCGTCCTGGAATCCAGGGTACAGCTTTATGGCGGCGAACCCAAACAGGTTGGCCAAGCAAGTAGTGATACCCCCGGCCAGACCCGCCACTGCAGTCGGGTACAGCTCCCCCAGCAGCCCCCACGCAATCAAGTTGAACCCAAAGTTAGCGAACGCCTGAAATATACATTTACTTTTTAATTTCATGGGATGGCGCGAAGCTCAGTCCACTTGGTACGTCGGCCAGCAGACTTAAAATGACTACTTCCTAAGTACGTACGTTTATATTTTAGCATCTGGATTTTATTTAAATACAAGATAAATATGAAACCAAAAGTTGAAGATTTAAATTTGATTTTAAATTAATTTAAAATGTATTATGCTGTATTCAGCGTAGTGTCTCTAAAGTTGAATAATTTAAGTTGATTTTAATTAATTTTAAAATGTTGTAGGCTGTATTCAGCTTAGTGTCTCTTGCTATAGTAGGTAGTATAGACCACGCAGCAGAGCACACCGCATAAAGAAGACAACACAACAACAATAACAATTGACATCCTGGAAATATGAGCAAGAAAGAGATAAATTCGTGTTTGAGAAACAGTTAACAAGACCGAATCTACCCAATAATAGAAGAATCAGACGAAAAGATGCGTGGCCTATTACAGCAACAAACACTAAGCTGATTAGAGTATATTAGAGTTTTAAATTAATTTAAAATTAACTTTAAATCTTCAACCTTTAGTTCCATATATATCTTATATTTAAATAAACATCTAGATGCTAGAATATAAATGTACATAGAATATAGTTATTTAAGCCTATGTACGTAAATATTTATATACGTTTTACAATTCAATATTGAAAATGTATAAATCAAAACACCTGAGGATGACCCTATAAGTGTCGAAACATGTAGTGGAACATAAGTTAATAAATTACAGTTACGTTGACGGTGGAATTTGTATTATTAGTTATACTCACGCAACAATATACGAACACTAAGAATAAAAATTGCTTTCAAACTTACGTCCAGACAATTTAAGGTTTACATTACTAATCGCTTTCGCGCGTTCAGAATAGAAAAATTCAGTTTTGACAATAATGTTACTTTTTGATATTAATTTCTGCAGATTTCCTCCGCATTTCAATTTTTATTTTTCACCCCAAGAGCCTGGGGTGTGGGGGAGGAAGCAGACGCCAAGCTCCCCCCCCCCGCTGGCGTCCATAGTGCGGTGAACTTACAATGTATCCCAGAATTAACAGAAGAGGCAGCCATGACAGATCGGAACTCCCGTCAGCCACTTCGAGATAAATTCCCAGTCCAATCATCGTGATGGCCATCCCTGACCCTGAGACCAGAGAAACAACGCGTCGGCCGTACCTGAAACAATGACCACAATGACCACTCAGGAGTGTCCTCTTTCAGACGCCACGAATTTTAGCAGAAGTGAATGTTCGAAACTTCTGTCATTCTCAGCGCAGGGAGGATGGCTACGAGTGATAAACTAGAAAGGATGTTCAAAGAAGTGATCGTGACCTATTGAAAGCAAAGGCGAAGATTTAGCTTAAAGGAAATGACGAAAATCACGAAGAAAATTATTCAGGATAGTCTGAAGTAGGTCGTATGCCTTAGATGGATAAGAAGAAACGGAAAAAGGAGAATAAAAAACAAGGAAGAAGGAAGTGAGTAAACAGGAGGAACGAGCGAATATGTATGAGAAGAAGGGTATGGGTGTAAATACGGACATCAAAGAAATTAACAAGAAGAAATGGAAAAGAAAATTAGTAAGGAGAAATAAGAAACAATAGAGAATAGCGAGGAAGGTAGCAAGACGCATAAAGGAGAAGGTGGAATTAGAAGAATAACACATTTGTTTATAGTCCATCTAACTACGCTGCCAATAACTTAACCTACGGAGTGTCGAATGACAGGATACTAATGAATGCTGAATTTGAAAATATTCGGAAGGACGAATTAGTATCATAATTTGTGGGAATAACCTGTAATTTTCCGAGAGGTCTGAGGAAACACACGGAAAGCCTCAATCAGGACAGTCAGTGCCTCGGATGTGGCTCAAACAGGTCACCTCCCGAACTGATACCAACAAGCTTCACTGTTTGAGGCAACCTAAATCAGTGGTTATCAAAATGTGGTCCTGGACCGATTAAGGTCCTCGGGTTCTGAGCATTGAGGGCCGCAAAATCTCTTAGTGTTTTTGTCTCGAAATTTCGCACGGATGGCTGTGAGAGTTACTCACTGGTTACTGGGTCATGTGAAGGAATGAGGGTTCCTTGCGTCTGTGTGTGTTGTTTTGGGTTACGTGGACTCGAAAATATTTTGAGAAACACTGAAGTATAAAAAAAAAAAACTAAATTGTCTTTACCTGGTGAAGGCAAAAGTCGCGCCTATTGCCCCTAGCGTCTGGACGCCGCCCAGGAGGACCGTGGCCCCATAAGAGTCCATAGTCACACCTGCCGACTTCATTATGTCCACCGCGTACGCAGCCACAACCTGGATCCCTCCAAACTGCATGATGAAGAAATATAAATTGTGAATAACCAGAGGCTTCCAAGCGTCCGGGCTTCCCAGAGAACACACGTGTCTCCATGCCTTCTGAAATCGTGAGTGGCGATTTCCGCTGGATGATGTCGGGTTACCCTTCATAATATTTGTTATTGTTGATATCTGCAAGTTATCGTCTTGTTTCTCTGCCCTTCTTTTTGCGTTTTGAACCATTTCTTCAAATTCTTCTCGCAACTCAGTAGCCATTAGTTGGTCCTCACTGACTCCACGTATCCATCTGAAGGATTCGTTAGCGTCCTTCTCCCGTCCCTTAGTCAGTAACCAGAAAGGAGTCTCCTTTAAACAGAGAAGGGCCAAGACAGACGCAAGAACCGGTGGAGCGATTGTGATCCCAGACACGAGACGCCAATCATCTTGGATTGCCCAGCCAAGTAAATAAACTAGCAGAATTCCTACGCACATTCCTAAAGAAGGCCACGTAACGAGCATGCCTCTATATCTGTTGGTAGCAATTTCGCCGATGTAAATAGCTGCAGGAATGCTGGCCATGCCGGAGGCTACGCCCGTCATGACTCGTCCGAAGAAGAGAAGTCCTAGCTGCAGAGGTTGGGGCATTGCGCAAAGGATAACCCAGCCAACAATAAACGGGATGGATGTCACTATCAGCGCCATCTTGCGACCATAAGCATCAAGTAGCGGACCGCAAAGAAGACACCCAAATATCTGGGCCACAGACAGGACGCTCGCTGGAACACAGAATTTGCGGTGCAGGTGTACAATGTGACTTTCAACATAGCTTATTAACTAAATAGTTCCATTGGAGCTCAGTATTTCTTGAGGAGCTAACAGTTGCACAGATATTACAGAGGTTCCCAGCAATTCTTACAACCACAATGTTCATTACCACATTCACAACAGCCTGAAACATGCCCCTGTTTTGAGCCAGACGTACCCACAGCATAACTCCATATCCTACTGAGTCAGTTCAACCCAATGTCATGGACACCCCAGTCCATTAGGAGACCACAAGGAACCAGGGACAAATGCAGCGTTCGTCACCCCAAATTGTAAAAGGGTAAAGAGGAGAGTAGTTGCTAACTACAACCCTAAGATAAACTTTAATACCATTTGCCCATCTATGTACAGGTCTTCCTAGTGACTGTTTACCTTCAGAATTTCTTACATAACTCTGTATGCCCTCCTCTGCTTTTCCTGGGTGCTACATACCCTGCCCATCTCTACTTCACTTATTTTAGGAGTGATATACTAATCGGGAGTGACGACAGCTCGGTTGATAAAGGGATGGGCTACAGGCTGGATGGTCGGAGTTCGATTCCCGGCACAGGTAAGATTTCTCTCTTCTCCACAGCATCCAGACCAGTAGTGGGGCCTACCCAGCCTCCTATCCAATGGGTACGGGGGGCCCTTTCGCAGAGAGTAAAGCGGCTGAGGCGTGAAGCTGACCACTCACCTCCATCTAGTGCCGAGGTCAAGAATACATGGATCTATACCGCCACTCCCCCATACGTCTTGATGACACAATACTTAGTCAATTAAGCACAGAAACAAATTTGCCTTTACCTTTATGCTAGTGGTCTCATGATGTAAAGGCTCTTGACCTCCGCACCGGGTGATTTACAAACCAATTGCACTTTTTAATGAACACTGTAATGAAGGCTCTATCACGTGAGGCCACAGCATTTTTGTACTTCTTAATGTTAATCCTGCCGGTCACGGTAGCCGTGCGGTCTAAGGTATGTACTGTCTTCGCTCGCTCGGAAGCAGGGATCGTGGGTTGGGATCTGTTTCCTGTGAGGTACGAACTGAATTCTTATATATTATTCTTATACACTGCCGGTCACTGTAGCCGAGCTGTCTAAGGCACGAACTGAATTCTTATATATTATTCTTATACACTGCCGGTCACGGTAGCCGAGCGGTCTAAGGCATGTACTGTCTTCGCTCGCTCGGAAGCCAGGATCGTTGGTTCAAATCCCACACAAGGCATGGATGTTTGTAATGTGTATGCGTTTTTCTGTGTTTGTGTTGTCCTGTGTTTAGGTAGAGGCTTTGTGAAAAGCTGATCACCCATCCAAGGAGTCATACCGTCTGTAAAATGATCCTGAAACTGAGAAATAGGCCCTATGCTCCAAATTGAGAGCGAGAGGAAAGTAAAAGTCATACCATCTCAACATGTTTGGAATTTGTGTAGTTAATATTACTGTATCCTAACAATGGACGAACACAGCATTTTGATATTAAAATCACACAGAAAAGTAGCACGTGAGGAGATCCTACCTGAGGATGTTTTCCAAGAGCAAGATTTTGTGATGACATTACGAACTTTCGGGTTCCATATTTCTTTATTACCTGCATAACTAGAGCTCACAAGCTTTTGCTTCTGAAGATGGAACCAGTACCATGAAAACTGTCAGACACCAAAGCAAATCATTGCCTACAGAAGCGAATAAACAGCACAGTACCGCCTCTATCTCTACAGATTATATTAGTGCTTGTCTCTAAGGGTGCAAATACTTCGTCCCTGAAGATGGAGGCAGCATGTGCTTCGAAAACAACCCAAGAGAAGAATAGTTATTACGTTACTATCGACTTTTTTCTCACCGAACCATGAAGCCTCGTCTTCAGAAAGGCCTTCAACTCGAAGCTGATCCAATGAAATGGCAGGGAAACCCAGACTCATACCTGAAGCCACGAGGCTGCATGCAGCTACCAGGCTTGCCAACAACTGCGGTAAAAAAAGAACACACTGCATTAGCTTCAATTACTATGCAACCAAGGAAAAACGTAAGAAATTTGCAGGGAAACGAACTACCAACGAGCTCTAAGTTAGGCAAAGTCTGTTTCCTACCAAATTCTTTCCAATTCTGCCATTCCTTCATCATAGAATTACTGAGGTTTGGGAATTTTTGGTAATAGAGGACACGACGTTTCGGAAACTAGATCTGTTTCCGTTTCCAGGTGAGAAAGGAAGACACCTACTTATTGGGCCCCTTAGAAAGAGCTTGTGGGAACTGCCCACATTCAAGCAAATGTGACAACGCAAGTATAATTGCTTAGCAACGGCGAGTAAACAGCTGTTGCTAGGCAAAGCTTACAACAATACGGACAATGACATGTTTTCTTTATGTCCGACTCTAGGTTATATAAGAAGATACATTGAGTGGAAGTTGATAAAATATGGTCGTGAGTCCCAAGGGACTCGGACCCGAGAAAGGCTGCGCTAGCAAAGGCCAGTAGCATGTAAAAAAAAGACAGACCCGTCCTCTCGTCAGAGTGGACGCCCCACAAAACCGTAATGTTCAACAGTAATAAATATCTGGTCATGATCCCTAGAGGGGGCTCGACACCAAGACCTACTGGCTGACTGACCGTCAGTCGCAATATGACTTTGACTTTGAAGTTGATATCACCCGTGTGGAGGCGGGGTCGAATACCTCCACCGCGACCCTGCGAGTCGTAGGAGGCGACGAAAAGGGAAGTCTCAAATCTGAGACAGTAAAATACGGTCGCGAGTCCATAGGGACTCGGACCCGAGAAAGACTGCGCTGGCAAGGGCCAGTAGCATGTAAAAAAAAGATAGACCCGTCCTCTAGTCAGAGTGGACGTCCCACAGAAAACAAAACCGTAATGTTCAACAGTAATAAATATCTGGTCATGAGCCCAGACGGGGCTCGACGCCAAGACTTACTGACTGACTGAACGTCAGTCGCAATGTGACTTGGACTTGGAAGTTGACAGTTCTAGATTCTACAGTTCTACAATTCTAGTTCAGCGTGTTCATTATTGTTATTATTATTATTCTTCAACTCTTCAAATGCAAGTTCGTCTGTGTATACGGTGCAACTGTAATAAATACTATAGAACAGTTCAACTAGTGATTGTCTCTTCATATAATGACATCCCACATTGGTGACCCCGACGTTCGCCGCACGAAAGCTGGGATCGTAGGTTCGAATCCCACTTGAAGCATGGATGTCTGTGTGTCCGTTTATTCTGTATTTTTGTTAGGTAGCGGCCTTGCGACGGGCTGATCCCCTGTCCAAACGGTCTTACCGACTGTCTAAGAGGGACAACAGGAATAAAAGAAGATTATTCATTGTTTATCCAACAATTCAACACCATATAGCCGTGGGGATCCGTTGCGCTGACCACCTGACACCCTCTACCCACAAAAAGTTGGCACTGATTTCGCCGAAAAGCGGCGGTCGCTCTGTAAGTATAGTTCGCTTGCGGACTACAGGCCACGGAGTTTATTTTTTATGGCTTGAGATACTGAGGGCTTCGTTTGTTCGGCCGTTAATTTGTTAATCAGTCACTCTGGGGTAAACACAACACTCTAACTGATCATTCATATAAATCGCAGGTATTTCCAGTTTATCTCTGAAAACACGTAAGGGTATTGCCCGCGTAGCAAAGATATCGGGTTTGCTAATCACACAAAGATATCACGCGAGACTATCTGAACTGCTAAAGCAAAATGCAGTAGGACATTCATTAATGCAAGGACGGACAATGCACATTGCTTCACTGATAATCACAGGCTTATCTTAGTATTACAGGAAGATCGAAAATTGCGCACTTCAAACTAAAAGTTGTTATAAATTATATTGCATTTAATATAATTATTTCGAGCATAAGTTGTAAAGATATGATTTGATTTCGCATTTCTAAGATGTAAGGTTATAAACATTAATAGTAAGTGCTGTATGTCTTGTAGTTTGTGCATTAAACCAGCAAAATATAATTGCTTAATGTGATGTGCGCGACTTCTCGATCTCCCTGCATTATACAGGTACCGACTTCGAATCTCTGGAAGGGCCCCAGCTATTCGATAGACTTTCCGTAGCTTGGATCGGGTTTAACGGACATCAGCAGAACAACTGTTTAACCAACTAACTAACCAAATAAGTATTTTCTTGGAGCTGAGTCCTCCCTAAGAAACCGCCAGTCACGCAGCTACTCAAGGATTTCAAAACAGTTTACGGAACCCGAAGGTTCATTACCATGTTCACAAGAGCCCTCCACTGATTCCTATCCTGAGCCAGATCAATCCAGTTCATATCAGCCCATCCTATTTCTCTAAGATCCATTTTAATATTATGCTTCCATCTACGTCTATATCATCTTAGTGGTATAATTCCTTTTACCTACCCCATCAAAATCCAATGTGACCTCACCATCTCATCCTCCTTGAACTGATCATTATAATAATACTTGGAGAAGAGTACAAGTTATGAAGCTCATTGTGCAGTTTTCTCCAACCTCCTGTCACTTCATCTCTCTTCGGTCCAAATATTAATCCTCAGGCTTCACCATGAATCTGAAGGAACAATAACTGGGAATAATTATGGAAATTTTCCCCCCAAAGGTGTCTCTACCTTGTCGTGGTGGTGGGCATGCGTGACTCTGTGACCTGGAGAGCTATGCCTGCGGTAGTTTAACTATCGTAGGGTCACCCATGCCAGAAAGATCAAAGGATAGAGTCCAGAGTACGAGATATACCTTGGTACTCCAAGTTGGGGGTTGGGCATGGGGCTAAGAACCTCATCCTGTAAAAAGAATTTTGTTCAGAAACCTAACAACCAGCCTCGGGTCATGATGCGTGGATCCATTCCTATGGCAGCACGCATTGGTTGTGGAGACTGGTTGTAGAGGAGACCAAGGCTCACCCAGGGCTGCAGCGCCGAGTGGTAGGTAGGTAATAACAGAAATATTAAACTAAATAAACGGATAATTAACGACGAAATAATGAAACTCTTATAAAGGGCCAGAGCCGTTCTTCAGAAGCTAATAGTTGTTGAGCTGGTTAAAATTTTTATCTCCCTTTAACGGACACAAGTTATTTATCGCCGAGTTCACAGGACAATGTCACGAGTCAGCTTTATTCAATCCACATTCTCATACTTTACTTAAGAATCTTTTCAATATTATCCTCCCATCTACGTCTATTTATGTCAAGTAACTCTTTCTTTCAAGATCTGAAACTAATATTTCTCTTTGCATAAAAATATGCCCCAATATGGAACTAGTATTTCGTAACATGACTTATTTTGGCCAGGAATTTTAGACCTCCGATCAACCCCAACTCTGGAGGACCATCCTCTGTCGGTTGTCCGTGACTGCTTCTTTGCAGCTATTGTTTAACTAAGTCATCCCTGGGACAATAACATACATCCTTACGTCATCATTACAATATAAGTAAATTCTGTCTTTGACATGGGCCTACCTTACTTACTCACTCATGGAGCTGAGCCCTCCTGGAGGAGCCACCAAACCTGCAGCTACTCAAGAAATCCCCAGCATTATACGGAACCCAAAGGTTCATTACCGTGTTCACAAGAGCCATCCACTGATCCCTGTCCTAAGACAAATCAATCCAGTCCATAACATTCTATCTCTCTGAGATCCATTTTAATATTGCCCACTCACCTACGTCTTGGTCTTCCCAAAGGTCTCCTTCCTTCTGGCTTTCCCACCACTATCTTAGTATATGCATTCGTCTCCCCCATTCGTGCTACATGCCCTGTCCACCTCATCCTCCTCGACTTGATCATTCTAATTACACTTGGAGGAGAGTACAATTTATGAAGCTCCTCATTATGCAGTTTTCTCAAACCTCCTGTCACCTCATCTCTCTTCGGTCCAAATATTCTCCTCAACACCCTCAGTCTATGTTCCTCACTTAATGTCAGAAACCAAGTTTCATACTCATACAGAACCACAGGCAAAATTATATTTTTAACAAAAATTATCATATACAGGACATTTCTTCCCCCATAAAGTTGCCTACTCAAAGCATGACGTGTGCTGGAAGACGCCAAAGCCAAAGTTTAACTGCGTGGGAGGTCCCCTAAATCCCCTGGCCATGCCTTGGTGACAAGGGGACCCACTTCAGAGATAAGTTGTTATTACAAAAACAAATTTGACCATCGATCTTATTTACAATTAAAAACAAGTTGAGTAACTCAGTGATCCAAAGGTTACGTGTCTCTGACGTTGCAACGAGTCCCATAACACTGAGCGTCAATAAATCGAGTCGAGGAAATGTATGTTGTACATGAACCCGAATCCTTAAAATCCACTTTAATATTATTCTCGGACAATTATGCTAAATTATGAATCATTAAGTTTAAGCAGGACGTGTCACAGCTCAGCCGGTTAGTCGACGGCTTCCCACCGCAGGGCCCGGATTCCATCCCAGGTCAAGTCATGTGGGATTTGTGGACATAATAACACTGGGGCATATTTCCTCCGAGTACTTCGGTTTCCCCTGCCAATTTCATTCCATCATTTGGCGCTAATACAATACGCCAAAAGATTGCGTAACGAGGGAACATGTGGTAGTGTAGTTGGCTAAGACACTATGTTACAAGGAGGAAGGTCGCGGGTTCGATTCCCGATAAGATCATTGGATTTTTTTTAACCCCTCCAGCCGCACGATGACTCTGGGGTCGACTCAACCTCTAGCGGAAATGTGTACCAGGAATCTTCCTGGGGGTAAAAGGCAAAAGGTAAAAGTAAAAATTGTTAACCTCACAGCCATCTGTTAGCCCAGGCATGTCCAACGCGTCCATCGCGGGACGATTTTTGGTCGATCTCATAGGCCTATAGGGAAATTATACGTGAAAAGCATGTAAATTCACTTGTAATATATTATGATTAGGGCCCGAATTTCTATGACATGTCATATTTTTTTCCTAGGATTTATTCCTATTTTTAAATGTAATTATGCATGTTTCTAGTCATTCTTATTGAAATCATGTCGTTTTTATTGTGCATATAAATGCATGTTTTAGAGTTTTATTGGTTTTAGAGCATATTTTGGCATAATTTTGAAATAAGGTCATATTTTTGTCATTTTAGAAACAATTCTTTGATATAATGTAAAATTTCGGCTCCATAATGTTTACTATTACAAAATAAATTTCAGGCTGGACTGTTGCTTCAATGTGGAATAGAGTTCAAGTACATGAAGTTCGTATTAAAAACCATATTTTTGACTGGACTGTACTTGCAGTTACAAAGGCGAAAATTTGTGAAATGCAGCATTTATGACCTGGCAAGCCGGCCTTTCCCAGTCGAGGCAGGAGGGAGGCAAGTGTAACGGGTATTCTCCTATTGTACTCCGTCTTACTATAAGGTATATACATCCCATTCTTTCTTGGAGGGCTTAGAAGTATTCTATTTATATATGTGGAGGGCGTTATAAGACTTCAGTTTGACTTTACAATGCCTAAAGTGAGTACATGTAGTTCAAGGAGCGCAAAGTTGCGTAGTTTTGTACAGGAGTTTGGTGAAAAAGTGTTTAGTACCGATGGCAAGATATTTTATTGTAAGTTGTGTGGCGTGAAAGTTACGGCAGAAAAGCGATTTACTGTGCAGCAGCATTGTAAAACTTTTAAACATGGTAAATGTTTAAGCAGATTATCTACAAAGGATAGCAGACAAAGTTTGTTGTTTAAAAACAGTTCCACTAATTCTTCTTCTTCTTCTTCTTCTTCTTCTTCTTCTTCTGCTTCACCTTCTTCAATGAACAATGGGTCGGAATTTTCGAAGGATTTGTGTCAGTGGATGGTATCTTCGAATATTCCATTAGAGAAATTGCATAATCAGCACTTCAGACAATTTTTGGAGACATACACTAGTCATCCTATCCCAAGTGAATCGACGTTAAGAAAGAATTATCTCTCTACATGTTATGAAGATATGTTAAATAAGATTCGAACATCTGTTGCTGACAACAAGATATGGGTTTCCTTGGACGAGACTTCTGACGTAGATGGGCAGTATATTGCGAATGTTATAGTTGGGACCCTGAAACAAGATCAACCTGGAGAGAGATTTCTTCTTGACTGTGAAGTTCTCGAAAGAGCAAATCATTCGACTATAGCTGTCCTATTTGATAATTCCATGAAGTTGTTGTGGCCAAATGGAATACAGCGAAATAATGTCCTTCTCCTAGTAACAGATGCCGCTCCATACATGAAGAAGGCTGCCAAAGGACTTCGAATCCTCTACCCGAAAATGGTCCATATTACTTGCCTCGCTCATGCATTGCATAGAGTGGCTGAAGAAGTTCGAGGACATTTTCCTGATGTAGATAGGCTAGTTTCAAACGGAAAGAAAATATTCATCAAGGCCCCTCTTCGAGTGCAGAAATTTAAACAAGAAGCTCCTCTACTGCCACTTCCTCCACAGCCTGTCGTCACACGGTGGGGTACATGGTTGGATGCTGTGGCATATTATTGTGAAAATTACACAGCCATTGAGAAAATGTTTAATGGCTTTGACAGCAGTGAGTCAACATCAATTAAAGCTGTCAAGGACTTATTCTCTACCACTCTAGCACAAAATCTGGCATACATAAAGTCAAACTTCTGTTCAATTTCAGGTGCAATAACTCGCCTGGAATTTGTAGGGACTGAACTCTGTGACGCGTTGGACACTGTAAAGAGCATTGAGAATGAACTAAACCGAACTCGTGGTGAAATAAGTGACAGGATTAAAACCAAAATAGAAAGTGTTCTTCATCGGAATGCTGGTTATTCAACATTATGCAAGATTGCAGATATACTTTCCGGTAAACTAGCAACATTCGAAGATGATACAGAACTGTCACCAAACGACTTGACATTCTTCAAATATGCTCCTGTCACATCATGTGATGTGGAACGAAGTTTTTCCAAATACAAAACTATCCTTAGTGATAATCGGCGATCTTTCAAATTTGAAAATTTGAAAATGCATGTAGTTATAAATTGCAATTGTAACAGTGAAAATTGAGACGTGAATAACTCAGTGAAAATTGAGACGTGAATAGCTTGTGTTCTTTTAAATGGTGTTTTTAGATAACAGAGTTAAGTTAGTGTTCATACCATGTGCACCAGTGTTTGTCTAAAATATGAACGCAAATATCAGTATTAAAAAGAAAACAATGAATGGTTTAATCCAGTACGAAATGTCGAAATTCCATCAGTTTTCTTTCCTTCAGAGACATAATAGGGCTAATTTGGTAAGTAGGACCTACTATCATATATTCATCATCTTTATTCTTAAACTCTAGTAAAAGTTGTAATTAAAATTGTGAAATTTTATGTCCCATTTAATATTTAAGGTCATATTTTACACATTTTAGGTCATATTTGACATAATTTTGGGTCATAAGTGCATGCATATATTTATAGTTTTAGGTCATAAAAATCCGTGCCCTAATTTTGATGGGAAAATACGTGTTAAAGTAGTCTGCACTTTCAATGTATGTTGCTTTTACAAACAGCATGTGTCATGTTATTTTTACCAATATTTTTGCTTAAAGCGAGGTACGACAGGAGGGGGTGGTAGATCACTGACAGTTTTGACACTAAGAAGTCGATCACAACCTGTTTGAAGATGGACATGCCTGTGTTAGCCGATTGCTTAAAAATATGGGAGCCTCTACGTCTCACAACCCTATGGGCCTCCACCGCTTCTTTTTTCTTACTGACGCACAGTGGACTGCACGTAAGTCTCACCCCGCCCCCAAGAAATAAAAATGTTACAATACCTCGAATTATTTTGAGTTTAATGAGATGTATGTCATGAAAAGGGAAGATATAGGACTCATTAAATTACATAAGCCATGAGGACGAAATGCCGAGCACAGTGGTCGCGCGGTCTGACATGAACTGTCTTCGCCCGCTCGAAGTCTGGGGTCGTGGGTTCAAATTCCACGTGAGGCATCGATGTCTGTGTGCGTTTATTTTGTGTTTGTGCTGCAAGTAGCGAGCATGTGACGGGCTGATCCCCCGCCCGAGGAGTCCTACCGACTGTGTATAGAATTACGAAACTGAAAAAGCGGCCAGGGCCCAACAAAGGGCTGTAGAGCCATTAACGAATGAATGAGGATGAAAGAAAATGGTGGAAGAATGGCTTTAATTAATTTGAAACCATTTTAATCTGACAGACTTGGCAAATCTCTGAACTGTTATTTCCTTGTCTTTGTAAAAACTGCAGTAGTAAAGACAATAAAGCTTTCCGCGTGCCTTTGCTTACTCTTCGATTCTGTATGTGAAGCCGATGTTCCCCCAAAACGTCAGGCCCTGTACGAACTAAAGGCACTACAACCCAAAACACTGCAGCTATTCGTAAGCCACTATCATAGCAACCTCAAACAGAACACAAAAACAAAATAAACTCTTCTGAAATGTGTCAGGGCGACCATTGTTCAGACTGTCAGCCTCTGAAGTGACTTCTATTCTAACGACCGAAATAAACAGTGTTCTACATTCTGTCCATCTGCACGGTGTCACAAACCAGAATATCATACAAGTGACATATGCAGCAAAACCCCCAACATTATTTCAGTAATGTTCTACTTCTGATGCTATGTGAAATCACACAAGATTCCTATTAAAATGCGTACTTACTTCTCTAATCGCCATTAGTACAGATGATTGTTTGATAAGTTGTGTTGCTACTACTTCCCAGTTACTCTCAGTCAGAACAAATATGTATATATATATGTGTTGATAATCTTATTTATAGATAACAGGTAAGTGACGCTCATAACCTGAGATATGTCACTATCTCTGTTGCATTATCATTTCTGGTCAAATGTCAAACCATGCCAAGTGGAGATTTAAAAGCACTTGACTGATCTTGCTCATAACATTTCAGCATAAACCACAAAGAAAACATCATTTTCATTGTCATGGCACAACGGTACCTCGATCCTTGCCATGGGAACCCATTTACCAAGCAATGCATGTTCCTTATCACAACTGTTGCCTAGCAAATACTATATGCACTACAATATTGTTTATTTTCCACTAATTCATAATTACTTACTTACTTACTCATGGAACTGAGCCCTTCTGGAGGAGCTGCCAATTCTGCAGTTACTCAAGAATTTCTCAGCATTTTATGGAACCTGAATGTTCATTACCATGTTCCAAGAGCTCTCCAGTGGTCCCTATCCTGAGCCAGATCAATCCAATCAATACCATCCTATTTTAATATTGTCCACCCACCTATGCCTTCGTCTTCCCAGCGGTCTCTTTCCTTCTGGCTTTCCCATCAATATCCTATATGCATTCCTCACCTCCCCCATTTGTGCTATATGCCCTGCCCACCTCATCCTCCTTCACTTGGTCATTCTAATTTTACTTGAAGAGCACAAGTTATGAAGCTCCTCACTATGCAGTTTTCTCCAACCTCCTGTCACTTCCTCTCTCTTCGGTCCAAATATATTAGTATTGTACTAAAACTGGGTGCCAATTCTGATGGTTGATTAGTTAGTTAGTTATTGGAGAGGGTGGGTTTCCCCATGCACTGAGACCTGTATTGGTCCATTGTGCTTCCCTCTATGATTTCTACCAGTCTCTATATCCTACCGGTACTGGTACTTACCATCAGTTCCGCCCAGCCAGCGAGACCGGCTCTACTAGCTGAGAGGTATCTATAATGCTTCCCCCATCTATCAGAGGTATTAGAGACTGCTCTTGGGCGGGAAACGTCCATTAATTTGGCTCAGTGACCTCCTTTGAAGATATGAGGTTCTTTTACGTGCCGTAAAGCTACGACATGGGACCCATGGCTTAAAGTCCCTCCCGGAGGACTTGTTCCCTGAATTTTTCCGCCTTTAAAAATTCGACGACCTCCGCCGGGTATTTGAACCCGCGTATTACGAGTCATGATGTGGGAACATTACCTCTAGACCACGGAGGCCGCTAAAGAGATGATTAACTACAGGAAAAAATAAACTATTTCAGCGAAAATTTAAATTAGAAATTGATGTTTCTTTCTTGGCCTGATATTCTGCAGGTTGGGAACCACTGGCTTACAGAGCTGGAGTGGGTGAAATGGCCAACTTATTACTTCATGTCATTACATTTGTAACAGGAACTATACAGGACATACAGACACCAGTGCACAATGTATTACTCTTTTTTTTATTTCATGACATTTCAGAAAAGGAAACAATTATTTTTTGAACAACAACACACAAAATTACACAACCCCATTATACTATCAAAACAATAATTACATATTTTGTGTGTGTAGAAATTATGCTGTGTGATCCATTTCTTTTGTTTCAATATTCCTTTCCTTTCCCCCCTCAATTTTTAAATACATTCCCATAAAACAGACAATTTTAATTTTATATTACATTATATTTCTTACTTTTTATCAGCTAAGAGGCACAAGAATTTCATTAAACGAGGTAGTACCCGTTTTTTCTTCTTCAACTTTCACTTGACTTTTTTAATGACTTTCCTGTTGATTAACAGAAAAACCTACATTAAGAGTATAAATAAACATTGTCACACAAATACAATCATATATATTTTACTTATACAATTAAGAGTGTTGTATTCTCAGTAGTGTCTGTCAATTAACCACAGAAACATCCCTTTCATTCAAGCTAAACCTAACATCTGCACATGACAAAAGAAGAAAATATTTTTTGACATATTAATTAGGTAAATATATTATTATTAAATATCTTAATATCTTACAAGAAACACTGTTTCAGGAAGTTGTATGTGATTCATCAATAGTTTCTGAAAACACTATATTACTCACACTTCAAAATGTAAACTTTCTATTTAAAAAAAGAACTGCACTTATTTACCTTTCATAAACACATAAAATAAATATTTACAATTTTTTTTATTGTTCAGCAAATGTCCATTACTTATATAAAAACACTGTCTTCAAATCTGATCTGTGAGAAAACACCGATTTTTTAAATGCAGTTTTCTGTCGCCTCTTTAACTGGCAAAAAGTGTTAATCTGCAGATGCAGACATTGGTTCTTAGACAATGACAAAGGACAATCAGACACGTGCGTATGGTTTGAGGCACAGTTTAATTTTGTTCCCGATGAACATGTTCAATTCATCCACTAAAATCTTCTCTGGTGTTCATCAGCATCAAAGACGAGTTAGAACCCAACGTTTCGGAGATGTGCTGTGCCTCCATCATCAGGGTTAGACAGCATATCTCCATTATGTTGGATTTTTATTCAACTCTGATGTGACCAACGGCCCAAGAGTGTCTTACTTGCTGTGAGAGTTTCAGGTCCTACATGTTCAATCAACAATTATATAATAACAACTTATTAAGCCATTATGTGAATCACATAACCACCTACACGTGATAATGACGGTGTGCATTCCATTTAGTCATGACACAATCCCACCAAACACATTGGGACAATTGCAGTGCAGCTGAGCTGCATTCAGGGGGTATCCTGTTTGAATCCCAGCTAGGAATCTTCTGAGATGCTTCACAGTTTTCCTCAGTCTTTCAGATTAAGTCAAATAGGCCATGACCTCTTCCACCAAATCCTTCCCAGGACACTTTTTAAGTTACCCTCATTCAGCGTGGTGTAGCATAATACCTTGAGCTGACACAGTGTCACTAAGGAATATCTAAATCAGGTCTGTCAGCAAATTAGATGTCCCAGTTTGTATCAGATGCGGCCTCTCAGCTATCAATATACCGTTTAATTGAGACTAGAAACATGTGTTTCCGATGACAGAGTTAAAATACATAACAGGACTGGAAAGCAGTAACATATATCACTTGCATTAAGATACCCACTTTGAATCCTGCATGGGCACCATCTATTCTGAATGAACTCTTTTTTTTCCTTGTGGATTTCATCAATCCCTAAAGGGAAAGTCATGGAATAGTAGCTTCTGCTTGATTCACTATTCAATAGTGTCTTTCCATTATCTAACATGATGCAGGTAATACTTTTGTATAAAAATAATCAACCAGTCATTGTCTAAGGAATAAATGGGTAGGGGTACAAACTTTCCAATAAATTTACCGTAAGTCTCAAAGTCACTTCCTCTAAGACCAATCTGAAAAGTGAAAAATCGCACAATAGCGTTACTAAACATTCTATTTGAATACACAACTTGAGACATAAATATCTGTGTCACTTCCTTTCATCCTGAAGTGTGTGTGTGTGTGTGTGTGTGAGTTATCTCATTTTAAGGATGATACCGCAAAATGATCAAAAATCATCAAGATATTTCAAATGCTACAATATACTAAGTTTTCCCTCTCAATACTTATGTCTCCACAGTGGTGATGAAATGTCTTTATTGTTTTTATTTCAGTTGATAAATATTGCAGATAATCTGCTGAAAATAAACAATAAGTCAATTATAAGGAATGTAGAAGACTTTCTCCCCCTGGCCTACAATCCTAACATAGTAATGGGGAAGTCTGTGGGTCCTGACCAGTTGGACAGATACACTAACAAGGATGTATGCCCCTGGAAGGGTCACCCAAGCATGGAAGGTTGAAGAGTAGTTAGGCAGCTTGTACAAAGAAACAAAAGACAAAATACTGGACATGTACTTAAGCCCTAATCAAGACAGAAATTCATACAATGTAAAACAATGGTTGACAGAAGATCACTGTCTTCTGGGATGTGACATTGTGTATCTCGGTAGACTGGTACCAATGCTTTGGGAGAACCTACTGCATCCATCCTCAGGGCAGAAGTGTGCCTCAGCGAAGTTTGGCCCATTTCCAAAGTACGAGTTCAAAAAGTCCTTACTAAAGTAACAATTTCTGAAGTTTCAAACATTCAAGTTTCACTACACTTCTGTTATTCCTCCAGTGAAGTTTGTGTGCATTGAATTTAATGTACTCCACACAGTTCAACCAATCTGCTTAAAAAGTAGTACTCTAACCAGAGTAGTGGCTTCCAACACTAATAAATTACAGAAAACCCACTATTAAGTGGGGTGAGATAAAATAAATGCACTAAACACCTTTTATATATAACAAGTTTTTCAGGTTTTAATTACTAACTACATTAACTCCATGCAGTTGAATTCTTCTTTAGGAGCTGCCAGTTGTTCGGCTACTCAAGAAATTCCCAACATTTTATGGAATCTGATGGTTCGTTAAGAAGTTTAAAAAGCCCACCACTGTCCTCATCTTGAAACAGATGGCTCCACTCCCACCCCCAATCCTATACAATCCATTTTAATATTATTCTTATACCTACTCCTTTGTTATCTGAGTGGTCTACTTCTTTCAGGTTGTCCTATCAGAAATCCAGATGAATTTCTCATCCCTCCCATTTGTGCTACATACTCGACCCCTATCATTATCCTTAATTTGATAATTTTAACAATATCTGGTAGGAGTACAAATTATTAAGATCTATGTTATGCAGTCTTCTTCACCTCTTATTAATCCTGGCCCCCCATGCCCAAATATTCTCCTTAGCACCGTATTCTCAAACACCCTCATTCTGTGTTCTTTCTTTACTGTGAAACAAAATTTTTCAGCCATATAAAACACCACGCAAACCTACAGTTTTGTGATATACCCTGAACAGGAAGGTATCAAATATTCTTTCAACTTAATCTGCTCTTAATCATAATATGGGAAACTTAATAGTGTGGAAAAATCATGCCAAGCTTTCACTTCAATTCATTTGGTTCTTAACAGTGAACAAAGCTGTTTCATGAATTTCATAATACATTACCTCCTGGCTTCATCTTCATTTGTAGTTCAGCAACATCACTGAACTAAATGGACTGGTGTAGTTGTAATATTCTTGACTTGTAATCACAAGGTGCTTGGTTTGAATTTCAACCAGGACACCAGCTATCCTGACTGAGGTTTTCTGTGGTTTTTTTCAGCCCCTCCAAGCAAATGCTGGGGTAGCACCTTGATTAAGCCAAAATCTTTCCAAATCATTCAAATTCATAAACAGTCTTACCATTTGATACTATACAGTCTAGCATCATAAAATAACATAAGAAAAAGAAAAAAGTTTAATTTGTCTGTTGTCTGCATACATTGACCTATGGTAGATTTTAGAGCCACAAAAAAAAAAAAAAACAACAACAACAACAACACATTTTAAGACTTATGGCAGTAGTGGCACACTTTTAGAAAATTAATATTATGCATGAGCAGTGAGACTGTTGCTATGAGATTTTATTATCTGCCTTTAAAAAAATGTTCCTCTCATGTTTAATACACAAATACAAATCCCTGCTTTTGTCAACTGAGCAGATGTGTGTACGATCTTTGCAATTCCTCCTAAATGACATTTTAAAAATTTTACATCCAATATTTTATTATGAAATAATTCAATTTTTTCCATGAAGAAAAAATATACATTATATATATTCGCTAAAAAGCCATAATGTACCTGGAGAAGACCTATTTCAACAATGGAGGACATTTATAGTGGTCTTCATTGTTATGTTTTACATTCACAGTTTCAGAAGAGAACAGGAAGTTTACATTGTCTCACAATCTTCTTCAGCTGTTACATGATGGAATCATACTGAACAATGATGAAAGTCAATTAATTTATGACAAATGTCATTTGTTACATGGCCATGGTGATGTGTTCTTTTAGTAATGAAAACACAAATACTAAGGGGGTGGAAAAATTTCAGTTGGAATGAAGCACTGTGGAAAGTTAATCCAAACAATTTGTTTTTAAGGTTAGAGAGCTTCAACATCTAAGACATACATAAAGGAAATACTTTTATATCTCCTCATAAAAAGAATTAAAATAATTAAATAATTCAATTACACTAATAGCAGTGGCGTCTACTACACTCTTCACATCATTCATACTTGCACCTAATTCTGAAAACACACAAATTAGCACACTTAATTTTTCTGAAACTTTGCTGTCATGAACATAAAATTAATTTATTTTGTAGTCAAAAAGTGATAACTGTTTACCACATTTTTGAAAAAGCAAATTATTTCTTCAAACAGAAGTCTTCAATTACAAACAAATCTTCTTTAAACTGACGTTGCATCATTCTCAAATGCACAAATGAATGCAGCAATTTACGAAATATTACAACACGAGATCATTTAAAACGAAGCTGCTCCCTCCAAACTGATCGTGGCAGTCAAATTAGTGAGTAATTGTATCGACACCTTCACTACTCCATTTGTCACCACCAACAGTCGATGTGTATTGTAAGGCTTTCTTGATACCGGATATAGAGGAACACAACACTAAAACCCATGCTAACACTCACCAAATATAAACTGAGGTCACGTGTCTCAAATTAGTAGCTGTACTCCTATTACTTTATGATGGTGGACTTATGATGGCTTTGGGGTGACTACCATTAAGTTCTCCCCACCGAGTCTCAAAGAATGATCGCATGCTATGACCAGCCTTTCCCACTGGAGAATCATCTTCATTAAATGTTTCACAGTTATTGAATATCAGACGCACGTCTGCACAGAATTCCTCCCTCGACTTGTATCTGCAACAGACGAACACAATGTGTTAGTAATGAGCAGGGCCCAGATTTTGATGACATGTCACTTTTTTCCTTGTATCCTATGCAATGCTCTTAAATATATAAATCTCGGATATGAGCTGCTGGTTACAGAAATGTAAATTTTATAGGTAATTTTTTGGACTTTTACGGGTATTTCTTGTCATTTTTGGCCATTTTTGGGAATTTTTCTTCATATGTTTTCTGAAATGTGAATAACATGGAAGTGACGTGTTCTTTCTTCTCTCCTTTGGGTCATTTTCTGGATTTTTTCAGCCATTTTTTGAATATAGTCAGGTCATCAAAATCCGGGCCCTGCATATTACTTTTTGGGTCATATTTTAGGTCATTTTTAAAATATTTTCAGGTCATCAAAATCCAGGCCCTGGTAATGAGTAATAAATCACCCACAAAGGAAGAATTCAGAAAACTGCATAATGAGGAGCTTCATAACTAGTACACTTTCCCAAATTTGGGGATGATTAAATATCAATGGGAAAGAAATGGGTGGGGCATGTAACACATATGAGACAAGAAAAGCATATAAAATTCTAGCTTGAAAACCTGACTCAAAGAGATTATTTGCACGGCCTAGGCATAGATGGAACAATAACATAAAAATTAATCTTAAAAACAGGGCATGAGGGTCTGGACTGGATTAAATTCTAAGCATGATAATGAACTGTCATTTTTCATAAAACGTGAGGAATTTCTTGAACAGCTGAGCTACTGTCTGTTTTTTTGGATGAGTTCTTGTCCCTGGAGTTAATAAGTTATATCTGGCATGGCAAGAAGAAACATAAAGGATTACCATACTCAATCAAACACGTAAAATGATATTTGAGGTTTTCACAGCAGTGACTATGAAGAAAGCTGTCTTCTGGGATGTGGCACCATGTAGATATTGTGCTGACATTTCGGAGGAATGTATCGCCTCCAACTTCAGGGTAGAAGAAAAAATAAAATCCACGAGCTAGGAACCAGTGTGAGCACTCTTCATGTAAAATGAGGTTCTCTTTTACATATATCACTGTAACAGTGATTAACTGGGAAGTACTGAAGCAAAACTGAGCAAGAAGTGGGGACAGGGCAACACATACTTTTTCTTGTCCCTATCTGAGAAGTGGAGAATCGCCCCATTTGTGTTATGATCCAAATATTCCAAAAATTTACATTCATAAACAAACTGTGGTTGCAAAGCATGGGGAAGACAGTCTTAAAGTCTCACTGTGAGCTTAGAAGGGGGGCTGTGGCCATGTGTGGAGAGCTGGACATGAAGCCAAAAGTGCCATGACTAACAAGTGAGTTAAATGCAAGGCGCAGAAAAAGCAGAATGCAGTGAGATATGGTGAAACAGTAGTGGACAAAAACAAGCTGACATCAACATCTGAAGTGGTTACTGACAGTGTGATAATAACTGTTCCAAAACAAGATATCTCTTACAGTATTATTGTGTGTAATGACTTGACAGAACTGAATAAGTCTCTCTGTACACATACTTCAACATAATCTTCACAATCTGTATGAACTTCATTGAAATCTGCAGGCTCATTCAATTCTACTATTTCTCAAAAATATTGTGACGTGGATGGTGTAGCGGGAGGTGGGGGTCGCACCCCCACTCCGTCCATCAGTGTGCAACGCTCGGTAGACACCCCTTTCCCCGCGGTGACATAATGCGGGACGCCGCAGTTGCTACATAGCCGTAAACAATTCC